GAGCCGAAGGCAGACGCCTAACCATCTGAGCCACCCAGGCTTTTTAAAGATTTTATTTAGGGGCCCCTGAGTGGCTCAGTCAGTTAAGCAGCTCACTCTTGATTTCGGCTCTGGTCGTGATCTCAGGATCCTGGGATTATGACCTGAGCCAAAGGCAGACGCTTAACCTACTAAGCCACCCAGGCGCCCCAAAAATAAGTTAAAAAAAAAAACTACAAATAGAATCAACAGCACATTAAGAGATTAATAATATATTACAACCATATAAGGTGTACCTCAAAAATGCAAGTATAGTTATTATATCAGGAAATAGACCAACATGATCCATTACATGACCAATTAAAGAAGAAAAATTATGTGGTATCATATCAATAAATGCTGAACAGAACTTCATAGGATTCGGCCATCATTAAAATACTAAGCAAAAATAAAAATAAAAATAATAAAAATAAATAAAAGATTTTTATAGAAAAAACAGCAAGAATATTATTATAAATGGTAAAACATTCAAACCATTTCAATTAAATTGGGACATGACAGGGAGGGCGCCTATCATCATTTATTCCACATTGTCTTAGAGTTCTAATGAGCGCAATAAGACAAAGAAATTCCATAATTAGTGTGAACATTGGAAAAAACATATACATTTTCTGTTGCTGATGATTTGACACCCTCCAAACCCAAGAGACTCCAGTTTGGAGGGGGGGAAATAAGAGTAAATAAGACAGCTGAATACAGCATAAATACATAAAACCTTTTTCTCTAGATTAACAACAATCATCTAAAAATGGAAAAGGGGGAAAATATTACACTTAAGATAGCAATAAAAAGTATTAAATCTAATTCATACAAAAATCTAATTCATACAAAAATCTAATTCATACAAAAAAATTCATACAATGAACGATCTGAGAAGGAAATTAAAAAAGCAATCCCATTTGGAGTGCCTGGTGGCACAGTCGGTTAAGCGTCCAACTCTTGATTTCGGCTCAGGTCATGATTTCAGGGTCATGAGATGGAGCCCCACGTCAGGCTCCTTGCTCAGCAGGGAATCTGCTTGAGATTCTCTCTCCCTCTTCCTCTTCTCCTCTCTCTCCCTCAAATAAATAAATAAATAAATAAGAAACAATCCCATGTGATCAAAAAGAAAAAAATACTTAGGACTAAACTTAACCAAGCAGGTATAAGGCCTATAAGTGGCCAATTACAAAATATTGCTGAACGAAATCAAGGACAATAATACCTAGAAAGATGTCTCATGTTCATGGCTTGGAAAACTTAATATTGTTAAAATGTCCACAGCACCCAAGGTGATCTACAAATTCAGTGAAATCCCCATCAAAATCTTAATATCCTTTTTTTGCAGAAACGGGAAAAACCATCCTAAAATTTGTATGAAATCTTAAGAGATTGCCGTGCAAATCCCCAATTGCCATGCAAACTTAGAAAATACAGAAGTTTGGAGGAAGATGCCAAGTTTCCAAAATTAAAATCTGTATGACAATGGAAAACTTAACAGTCCCCAATGCCACAAATAAATATTGCAAATTAAAAAAAACAAAAACAAAAAGAGAGAGAGAG